ATGCCTGAAAGGAAGACCTTGTCTAAACAAATGAGTATTGGTAGGATTGTAAGCCTGTGGTCTACAAGAAGTTGGTTCAGATCAGTGTTAATCTGGCCTGTCAAGTCCCCAAGAGTCAGACTAAATTAGAGGGCAACTAGAAAGTGACTGTTAAGCTAAATATGCACTGATCTTCTTACATGACTAAACAGTAAGGCAAGTTTTAGTCATACTAGTGAAGTAGCTGAGCTTTTATAGCTGTTAAGCACAAACCTCTGTGTAATCCCCAGCAAGGGCAAATCAATTGCAAGATGAACCCTTTGCTGCATGGATCTTCCTAATCTCTTTTGGTACACATGTATGGAATTTTGTCAAGTTACCTTATTATAAATTTGAGGCTCCTATCAATATAGAGTTTGCTGATGACTGCTTGAGTTGCTTAAACCTATTAAAACTGGGCAGGTAACATCTGCATTCTTCACCTCAGTGGTCCAATAGTTTTTCTGACCAATAACGATCCCTTTTGACACTCCCATAGCTGAAGTGTTAAAGACTTTGTGCCCTTAACAGTGACAGGCCTGAGCTTCAGGCGTCACAGCTCTTTAAGCTCATGTTATTAAGAAATGGGGGAATGCCAGCATGTGCTGAAAAATGTTGGTGCCATGATCCTATTTCTCGCATAGCTTCACACCCAGCCACAAGTATGTTGCCCTCTTTTCTAATGGTTATTTCATGCTGTGTGCACTCTACTTCTCCGAGCACTTTGTCCTGGTTCTTCATTTTGAGAAGATGAACAAAAACTGCGTCTTGATGGTGCCGTTGGAAAGCTGAAATGTTTAACATGCCACATGTTCTGCCAGTATTCTTTAAGCATAGCTTCTTGACTGCAGATCAGTGCAAGACGCTTGTTTATTCTTGCTTAGTCTTCTGGTTAACTTGAACACAAGCAACAGTGCATGAAATGAATGTTTTAATACAAGTCTCTGCATGCCGTGACTCAACAAGCACTTCAGTATCTTACAGGAGCCTTTCCTGCTTGGCTTGTCCTATATAAAGTACTGCCAGACTCCAGATTGCTTTCTTCCTGCTGAAAGCATGGAGCACCACGAGCATGGCTTCCTTCCGTGCTTCTTAATTTTGGGGAAAATACGAAGGTGTTCTAGTTCTTAATTACTAGTGTAGATGCCGAGCTAGGTACCCATCAATTAAGCAACCATAAGAACTCATGGCGTGAGGTGTGGAACAGACTGGCTGGAATTGTTTCTTGCAGCCAGCCTGCTATCTGTCAGACAAGAAGTAAATGTATTGTCGCACGAAGTTCACCATTCACACATTTCAGTAGGAGTTCTAGATGGAATGACCTGTTAGATGAGTCTGGGTTCACTCCGAGATGCAATTTACTCTTGTTCATGCCCATTGAGGACTATTTTTGGGAGTATTTAGTCTTTAAAATAGGATGGGTGAATCAAGACTGCAGATCATTCACCTTCAGGATGTTGGTTGAAATCTTGGCTGTAAACATGCCTTCTACTGTTCTACAGAACAGCTCTCCTGAAGGTTCCTGGATACATTCAGATCTGCCGCTTGCCAACCCCACTTCCAGAGATTGCCATCGCAACTTCATCTGTCTGATCCTTTATTTTTTT